GTATTTTTTTCCATCAAGTGTTAGAAAAACTTGTTTTCTTTATTAAATGCTAAAATAAACAATGGCCTATGGACATTGTTTATGGATGTTAATAGTAAATACCTCTGAATTGAAACTTAGCTGTTGGAAAAATCTTTGATTTGGTTGCTGATATATTCCTTTTTTCAATAACATTTCCCTTTTTAGTTCACGTTATTAAATTCAGAACAAAATTGCATTTCACCCTTCAGAGATTTTTTTATTCATGTTAATAAATTCAGAACACAATTACATTTCACCCTTCAGAGATTTTTTTATTTATGTTAATAAATTCAGAACAGAATTACTTTTACCTGTTGAGGAACTGACCAATTGACTTCTTTATTTCAGTTGATTTACTCAGGTTATAGCTGCAAGCAGGGATGGTTTTTCACCCCGTGCAGCAGTGATCCAGGATTAAGGTAAGTAGTCTATCAGTTTTAAAATAGTTGAAGCAAGATGTGATACACTTTAACAGAAAGCTAAATCTGTGTTGATGAAGTAATTTATTTGATATTCACAAAATTCCGAAAATAAGTGGAATATAGACAGTTGAACTGTGTTTTTGTCATATCATTCTTATTTATATCATCAAACCATACAAGTGGAGTTTGCGCATGTAAATGCTAAATATTCATGAGTTTGCCCCACACACTAATATCCATTTTAAGTATCTTTTTGACTTGATATCATCTATTTTCTCTACTGGCAAAGCTAGAGATTTATCAATAGATAAGGTATTATGATGACAGTATGACAGACACTTAATGGATTTGCCTTAGATCTAACTTCATGCCTAATAGTCTAATATCATATGTATTTGCTTTTCTTCATTGGTTACTTTGCCCAATCAGTTGCTTTTGTAAATTTTGACCTGCTATATTTATGATATTCTGAGAAGGTTCATAGCAACTTCGTATTTAGTATTTTAGTGATAGCAACCAAAGCCATGATTGTTTAGAATTTTAAAAGGGAATCGGGAGTTAAGGGTGGAAAGTACATGGGGTTCATCCTTAGTGATTTATGGAGATAATTGACAATAACTTTGACCAGATCTACCACTTTCTTTTAGAAATTCGGAGTCAGAATAAGTAAAAATGTCAGGCCAGTATTGAGAGGTTTGGAATAGGCATCACCGATAGCAAATTTAGCGTAGGTGATCCTTGAATTATTTTATAGAAAATTTTAGTTTGAAGCACTTGTAGAAATCAATATCAACAAAAATATGTTATAATGGGTATAACCTAAGAAAATGTTTAAATAGTTTATAGTTATGAATTATGATTAATTTTTCCCTTTTCATGCAACAAAGGATAACTTACTGAACTTAGCCATTGTTGTTCTCTGATCTGATTATCTGAATGCTCTAGCCCCTCTCTCTTCCATAATATTTCTCATTGGGTTGTTGATGCAGATCAAGTTTTTCTGCTATTGTTTTGCTTTTTTTTGCAGGGGACTGAAGAACATATTGCGTATACATGTTAAAAAGGTCAATTGCTCAAAGTGGGAACTAATCCCAGTTCCGTCAAGGTTAGATTAATCACAGTAGTTTTATTACCACAGTTAGTAATTTACTGTTCCTTAATTTTAGAATCGTTTTATAATAATTATTTGCTTTCTTACTAATTTGATCTGATTGTCATTCCTTCCCCATTAATTTTTGCTCCCCTACATTGTAAAATATCTATTCAATAATTTCAACTCTTGTCTTTTCAATTGACCTGAAACTTCATTATGCTCTAGTGTTCGGTCCATTGTTGCTCTAAATCTTCCAAGTTATGGAAGTGGAAGAAATCCCTGGGGTCATTTGAAGCCAGATTATTTGGAAAAGGTATAATTGCACATCTATTTTTAATTTCATTATCCTTCTTTTCGTCTCTAAATGAAATTAGTGATTGTTAATTGTTTTCCTCACCTACTATCTTCTTTTTGCTTTCATCCTTAGAGAGGGTTTGTTGAAGCCACTGCTGAGGATGGTTTGATTGAGATATTTGGTCTCAAACAAGGGTGGCATGCTTCTATGGTCATGGTTGAGCTCATCTCTGCCAAACACATAGCCCAGGTACTACCCAAACTATTTTGTTTTTTTTTGTTCCTTTGAATGCTTTTTACCAGACTTAACTATTTACCATTCACAACTCTCAGGCTTCCGCAATCAGATTTGAATTACGAGGGGGAGACTGGAGAGAAGCTTATATGCAGATGGACGGTGAGCCATGGAAACAACCAATGGACAAAGATGCTTCTACTTTCATTGAAATCAAGAGGGTACCATTTCAATCCATGATGCTTCGTGGGGATTCGTAGATCTTCTTGCCTGAACAAAAAACAAAAGGAACAATTTGTTGTGCTGGGATTTATGTAAAAGTATTTTCACTTTCTCCCTTAACCAAACTGCCACCATCTAATTGTTCATTTGTCATTAGTCCCCCATTTTTTGTGTATACCGAATTCGAAAACTCATACCACCCAAGTTTCTTGGGTGGGAGTCTTAACTTATTTGATGAATGAAATTATGATCATCTGTACATAATTGTGTTGGGTTTATCTCTTATGTTCTGAAGATACTCATATGTAAGCCCGGGATAGAACGGTTTGAAACACTCATCTTAAAAGGAGTGACGTTTCTCTACCGAGTCAAAATGTTGTTCATAATGTGATATTGTGATACAAAGTATATAACTTTCTATCTACGAGTATAATAAAAAACAGATGTTTACCCTAGCGAGAGCTGAGGGTTTGGATTTTCGCCGGCGAAGTCTTCGTCGTCTTCGTGCGGCGCGGGGTATCGATGCGACTCTGGCGTCGTTTATGTGCGGCTTGGACAACTGCGGTAGGGCGATGGAGGACGGTTCCAACGACAGATGCAAGGATGGCCGTGACCGAGAGGAAGAGCAGGTGGGTGATCTACAAATAGATGATGACGGAGCTTTTGAATCCGACTCTGGGACGACAACGAGAGAGGCAATCAATCGAGCGATGAAGGTCTGGCCTCCTCCTAAACCACCGCCAGGGATTGCACGAGGTGCTAGGGTTCAAGACTTTTACTTTGCTTATTTAGTTTTTCTCATGTTTTGTCCTCCTCCGATGAGACTTTATTATTTTGTCATTTGGTTTCTCGTTACTGTCTATGTTGTTAGGTTTGTCAGTCTGTTTGAGATTTTAGCCTTTGTTCATGTCATTGGGTTTGTTTGGATCTTTGGAGACAGGGATGGGTGTGCCAAGCCCATTACATGGTTAGCGATTCGTGTTGCTCTTTCAGGGTGACCGTCTTTGAGTCTCACTCTCACCATAGGGTTTATGGTTGTAGTTGTTGGTGTCAAAATTGTTTTTCATTTCATTGATGTAATGATCCTGAAACTTATGATATGAATAGAGACTAGTTTTCGTTAAAAAAATGTGATATTGTGACTGTTTGATGCAACGGGGTTCATGTGTATAATGTACATTTGTATGACGCCATAAATTTACTTATTGTTTTTAACTATATTCAATTATATTGAAATTCCTTTTGCACTTGACTGGCATATGCCATCATGTCACATACATCTATTTATGCACATTTTGTTGTTGCTACTTGATAATTTAAATGTATTGATAAAGGTAAGTATTAAATGGAAGTAAAGATTCAGAACAAGTCTAACACAATTTATTATTGGGGAAATTTGACTTTGCACCTCACTTTTTGGGTGATATTAGACTTTGCATCCCATTTTGAAAAAACTTTGATTTTGCACTCCATTTCACTTAAAATTCCTTTGACTTTGCACCCCATTTAGAAATTTTTCTTCACAAAATGGTATGTGTTGGAGTGCAAAGTCAAAGCTTTCTGAAAATGGAGTGCAAAGTCTAATATTACCAAAAAAATGGGTGCAAAGTCTAATCTCACAAAAAAAGTGAGGTGCAAAGTCAAATTCACCTTTATATTACCGTTCTTTTTTCCATAGATCAATTTACTCTATAGAGTTTTTATCTTACTCGATGAGGGGTTTTATTTTACTTGGAAAGCAAGAAAAATACTAATCCATCCAATTACAACTCAGCACAAAAGAGATATTTAATTACTAACAAAAATTCGGTATAATGTGTTATTAATTAGGGGGAAATTAATTTAAATACTCCATAATCTAATGAAATGTGAGATAATATTCCAAACTTGTATACTATCTATATAATATACTTCCTCCGTTCCTTTTTAATTGCAACAATCCACTTTTCATGCCTGCCAACGCACAAGTTTGACCGTTAATATCTTTCATTCCTTATTAGTAAAAAATTTAAAAAATCAGATTTTGAAAATTTATTATGAGAGGAATTTAAAAATATTTTTTAAAATTTTAATTCGTAATATATTAATTAATAAAATGTAATCAAAGTAGAATCTGTGAATAGTGAAAAAAGTCCTACGTTGCAATTAAAAGAGAACGGAGGTAGTATATACTCGAATTTTATATAAAAAACATTTCGCTCATGACTGTATGTTTCTTTTTTACAAATACAAACTTACAAAGTATGCATTTTGATGACAAAACACACTTTCTCTATAAATTACACAATGGCACATGCAAAAGTCAAAATATATATGAATATTGTCAATCCAGTACCAGAAAGACAGGTACACTCTCAATAAGAGAACTGAAAATGAAATGTATCGATACATGACCTAAATGATTGAAAACTGTCGATCAAAACCTAAAATATCATAAATTTTGATTTATGTATTTTTTTTATTAATTTCTTAGTTTTTGAAGATTTTTTCTTCGCAAAAGTTAATTAGTGTAACGGAAGACTTAAATTTTTAATATAAAAAGATATCAAAATTCATGGTATTTTCAAGAACTTTTAATTTGATTGGTCAACACAAATACAATTGATGGGTGATCAAATTCTCCAATGGTCTGTTGTCTGTAATCAGTGGATATGTCATTTTCCAATTTAAAATACTTACATTTGGTCCAGATGTGTTGTCACTTTGGAATGGTCCAAAATATAGTAGAAACAAGATTTTAATCAGAAAAAAAAGTAAAAACAACACAAGGAACCCTAGTCCAGAAAATCTGAAATCAAGCTCACTCATGGAGTACAACTGATGCCACCCACCGCGGGTCGTCCCTGTGCAAAAGAAGCGTCCATACTCCATACAGCCCAGCCGATTGCCTCCAGACTCTAATGTGCCGCCGATTTCTTCCAAAGCGCAACGGGTCAACGCCGGCGCCTCAGCTCAGCCTGTCCTGCATCTCGCCCTTACTCCAAGCCTGCACTCGTCACTCCTAACACCAACGGAACCTCTGCCTATTTCTGTCGAATCCCAAGCCTTTGACCATATCGGGTCAGCCATACACAGGTTTGGCGTTTTCTTGCATCATAGAGACAAACTGAAAGATCTTATATATTTCGCTTCCCTGTGATCAAACTGAAAGCGTATCTGCTTCGAAGATACTGAATTGAAATTTCGGGTTTGGTGTAGTGTAGGCTGTGTGGTAAAGATGTGGTCTTGTCATGTATGCAATCTTATTGTCTTATGGACATTTCTTTCTCAATTGTGGATTGTATATTTTCTGCTTAGGCTTTGAACATGGGCAATCTGTGTCCATATGCTGGCTGATAATTGCTTAATCATATTCAGAGGATAAAATGAAAGGATGAAAATGTAAATAACAAACATGATTGGATTGGAGCAAATACCCATGGGCCATGAAAGTCAAGTGCATATTTAAATGTGGACTTGTGGCAATGTGGCTAATACTCTATGTACTTGTTTTAATTGTCGATTTCAATTTTAACTCTCAATCATCTATTTCAAATTTGTTACATTCAAACTGTTTTGTTAAATCTGTAAACAAAAAGCCATATTTGTGTTTTGAGTATGTTATCAGTACAAAACGGCCTATGCTGAAGTCATGCCACGTTTCAAGTCTTCACCTTTGGAAAGTGGTGAGAAAAAAGTGTATGATTGAATAATAATTCACAGTCATCATTACATAGGTGTTTTCCTTAGTTTCAAACAGCTCAATATTGCAACCTATAGCGTACCCTCTGGGTATCGTAGGCCAAGCACTTAGCAGTCAGCAGACCTTTGGCATTGTGGCAATGTAGCACACATTTCATTTTTCCCTTGCTATGCTAATTTTTTGCCTTCTAAGTTTTATCTATAGATTAGGAATGTTCTGATCTTCAAGTACTTGAGACATTTTAGTCCGAGATAAAGCGTCTTATGCTTAAAAAGGGGTGTGTCGTACTGTGCTTAATAGGATGCCAACCATACATTGATTATGAAATACATGCATTTTATCCATCAGTGGGAGGGGTATGCCCATTGATTAGACTTCCATTTGTTTGATGGAGATAAAATTGGATATTTATCACTACACATTTTTTCCAGGATGAATCGAACCGTAACTAGATATGAAAATGGCTAGGTTTTAGTACAGGTAATTGAAGGTGAAAAAGAAATACAAAGAATTTAATATAAGGTTACATAGTTTGAAGCTGAATGGCCTCGCCATAGGTACTCTTAGCTTGAAAAGAACTCCATATTTCATCTTAGTTTCTAGACACTTTGGTCATACATACGCTCATTTGTATTTTTTACTTTTATAATAACCACTGTACCTAACTTCCCTGTTCCGCGTTCTACTTTTTTTTATTGAGTGTGTGGAACATCTAATGATGAAGGTGGGTAATGGGATTCCAACCCAGATCTGATCATCTAACTCCTTGCTATTCCTCCTGTAGTAGGGGGTGTTTTTGTTGAAGTACGCACAATGCTAGCTACAAGAGTAATGGACCATCATGCAAACAGTCCGGGACCAATTGATGACTCAGTATTGTATGACCAGGATAAGCATGTATCAAGTGCAGTCTGGGAGGGGCAGGTATATGATTTCTCTGAGGCAAAATTTTGTGCTATTAGTCTATAACTATTAATGAACCTGGGGATGTGATAATTATTAAAGAAAAGCTACCACCTCTTCGACAGGAGCGTGGTGCTCTTAGATGCCATGAACACACGTCAAGGCTTGACAGGTGGATGCTCACTGAAAAACAGATAGAGTTGGTTAAAAGGGCTGGGTTTGGCCACTTAAGATTGATACCTGCAATCAGTTTGGACAATCCACTTATCTCTGCTTTGGTAGAGAGATGGAGGAGAGAAACAAACACATTCCATTTCACTGTAGGGGAAATGACAGTTACACTTGAGGATGTTGCTTACTTGGTCGGGCTTCCGGTTGACGGTGAACCGGTTATAGGTGTGACATATACTTCGTGTGAGGCAGTGTGCCTCAAGTATTTAGGCAAATCACCAGACTCTGGGTACACAAGTGGTGGCATGGTTAAGCTTAGTTGGTTGAAAGAGACTTTCTCTATCTGTCCCGAAGGTGCATCACTTGAAGATATTGAGCACCATACACGTGCTTACCTTCTTTATCTCATTGGTAGCACAATTTTCTCAACTACTACCGGGAATAAGGTACCTGTCATGTACCTTCCCTTGTTTGAAAGTTTTGATGAAGCTGGAAGGTATGCTTGGGGTGCTGCAGCATTGTCCTTCTTGTACAGAGCACTTGGAAATGCCTCTCTTAAGTCTCAGAGCACAGTTAGTGGTTGTTTGACATTGCTACAGGTAAATATGATACCATCACATTCAATCATTGAGAGTTTGTTAGGTAACCTGAGAATGGCTGAATGTGCTGAAGTTGTGGCTGAAATATCTAAAAATATTAATAATATATTGAACTGAAATAGACCTAAAAATAGCCACAAATAAAGCTGAAGCAAACAATTTCATTAATTTAAGGAATTTCAGCCAAAACACACACTCTTTTGGGTGTCAGCCAATCTCATCACTACTTTTTTCAGTGTCAGCCAATTCCACCTGCACGGTGATGCACTGTAGTTATTGAAGTGTGGTGAGAAATATGGGTGATATGCCAAACAAATCCCACCAAACAGGCTATGATCAAGCATGCAACTCACTGATTTGCTAAAAGTTTTATATATTCATCAGCTTGTGTCTTTATAAACTTTCTGGGTTTGCAGTGTTGGAGTTATTATCACCTGAACGTTGGTCGGCCAAAGCTAAATCATGACCCGGTCCATGAATGTTTTCCCTTTGTACTTAGGTGGAAAGGAAAACAAAGCAGCCCAACATCAAACCGCGATGTAGCTTTCTATCGGAAATCTTTGGACCTGCTAAAGCCATCTGATGTATGTATGTTTAAACCAATTTTGTTCCTCTTTTTTGAGATGATGATTCACTTCTTTAGTGTGTTGATGTGTATACTTTTTATATATTCAGGTTGATTGGTGTCCTTATTCCAACATAAGTCACACAGTTGTACCAGAAAACATTTTGAATACTCTCATCCTTGGAAGATCAAAGACGATGCTAATATGCTTTGATAAAGCAGAGAGACACCTTCCGGATCGTGTCCTGAGGCAATTTGGAATGAGTCAAACAATCCCCCAAGAGGTACAAAGATGGGAAAGGAAGAGCCGTGGAGTAGATGGTGGGGTGGACCTCTCAACAAAAATGGAATCCGAGCTTAATGAATGGTCAAACCGTCATCACCATGTTGTGGAGGCAGAGGAATATGTGAAGGAAAGTGCATACATGCAATGGTATTGGGATATCACTCGCAGGTTGGTAGGAAGGCCTATACCCATCTCTTCTGAGTTTCAAAGAATGGTAAGCCTTTGCCCCTGTCACTAGCAGCTTAATTGTCTTCAGTTTTTCTTTTTCTTTTTCTTTCATAATTTTATGGAAAAATTCCTCATATTGCGAAGTGATTCCATGGGACAAAATGTTATTTTTAAAATTTAGGACCAACAAATGGCTAGTGACTCATGGTAACTGTGTTAGTAACATTTTAGTCCTAAGATTAAAATTTACATATTTTCGAAATGGGTAGTTACTTGGTGATACCTGAAGGAAAACTATTATTTTTAATTTTTTATAGGTCTTTCCACACTACCTCCATCCACATCACACCCAGCTACACTTTAAAGCATATAAATGAATAAATAAAAGAAAATAAGCTCTTTTAACTTTTAAATTACAGAATGCTGCACTTAGGGAAATTGCACATTTGGCAGACACCCTATCAACTCATGGGATGGATGATCATCAGATTCAAGCTGTCACAAGAATACGATATGCTGCTCACGAGTGCTTGAGAGACCAGGGTGGCGGGAGTTCAATGGTTATTATTGCCAACTCGCCAAATGAAGTTGGAACACATGGGAGAGGAAAGGAGAGAATAAGAAGGAAGGGCACTTGCAAACGTAGGCGAAAAGAGGAAGTGGATCAGTATTATGCTCCTGATGGAATAATGGACCCACCACTGTCACATCATTTTTCTCCTGCAGCCATTGAGGAGACCGCCGATCATGCACACCGCCCTCACCTGTATGCCTCAGGCGGTGAGGTTGATAATTCCCATCATCTCATGTATATCACATCCAACGAGGTTGATGATGTTGGTGAAATAGCCGGTGCGGGTCCCACGGTTGATGATTTGGAGATTTGTGATGACGCATTAGACAACGTTAACCAACGTTCAAGTTTTCATCATGCAGCTGAAGACGAGGAAGATGGACTTCCTCTGAATGGAATGGTGGATGGAGGGTCACATGGGAATGGTTCCATTGATATTATGCAGTCAGGTGTCATAATTTAGCCATTCAATCGCTTTTGTAGATGATGTTACTTTTGTCAAATATATATGGCCATTATTAAATATTTTCTTATGATGTAGAGAAGTGCTAGAGTCCATAACGATGTGCTGCTAGCACTGACTTGAAGCTGGAATGTGCAATTAGCCCTAACTATGCCATCTTTTTGATCGGAGCTGATTATGAGTTGGGTTAAGTGTCGAGTAGACTATGTCTCTAATCATAGAGGTGGGCAAGGTTGTAGTGCCCATTGGTGTTAGTCAGTGAATTGATAAGAAACTTCCTAGCTCCATACTTGTTACCATGCACATGAGTATAATAATGAAAAAGAAGTATCACTGTATTTTTAGTCTACTACTACAGTGGTTTAAAGACTTAAAGTTCAAACTGACCTGTTACTAGCTAGAATGGTCAAAATGGCCCAGTCGAAGGACAGGTCTGTAAGAGCATCTTGATCGTGCGTTTAATTTCTATTTTTTTGAATTGAACATGTTTTCTTCATTGTATCTAAGATTCTTTTCTAAAACTTGTCATCAATTATGATACTTGACATTCGCTAAGGAGTTGGAGCAACTAAAATGCCATGAAACTCATTGGATCAAATAAAAATGATCCTTGGATTAGATAACATTCTCACAAACACCATATCTTTTAGGGTACAATGGAAAAGAAGAGAGCGACAACTCAAATCCTAAGACCATTGCGGTGAATGCGGTCTTCCCAAAGGAAACATGAAATCTCTTGGGAGTTGGGGGTATTGTCAAGGATTTTCAACCTCCTTTGGTTAGGGATGGACTCGGGCTGGGCCAACCGGCCCGGAACCGGACCGGCCCGCTACTGTACGGGCCCGGCCCGGCCCAGTGAACCGGTTAGTGCTCGGTTCAGGCCACCCGGCCCGATGGAATAGCGGTCCGGGCCCGGGCCCTCCATTTGGTGAACCGGCCCGCCCGGTCCGGGCCCGGGCCCTCCATTTGGTGAACCGGCCCGCCCGGTCCGGGCCCGGTCCGGGCCGAATTTAATTTTTTTCCTCTGATTTTTTTTTTAAGTTTTTGGGTTGGGCTGAGTATTTTGGGCCATTTGAGGTGACTTGGGGTGGTTTGGGGGTGAGGGAGATGGGTTGGGGGTTAAATAGGAGAAGCCAAAAAAAAAATTACAAACCGGGTGGCCCGGCCCGGAACTGGACCCGGAACTGAACCCGGAACCGGTGGCTACCGGTTCGGGCTCGGGCCCAACAAAACAGAACCACGAACCGGCCGGGCCTAGGCCCGAACCGGAACCGGTCCACCCCTACTTTTGGTAGAGTGCATCATAGGAGAATGAAGATAATTCCCCCATGATCCAAGATGATTACTCTAGCTGTGTTCCTACTTCCTAGTGTGCAACGAAGGGAACCATTGATACCAAGTGGCTAATTTTTGGAGGATGTTACTTCAACATACAAAAGGTCGAGCAATAAAGATCCCACCATATATCAATCTCTAAACAATTTGTGTATCTCATTACTAGTATATGTACCCGTGCACTGCACGGCAAAATATGCACTTAAAGTTTTTATAAAAATTGTAAGTGAAATGAATTGTATGTGAATTCATCAATCACGGTTTAAAAGAAAATTCACTCAACTGTGGATAGAGCTGTCGAAAGGAGTCAAAGTCTCCAGGCTAGCTTGGTCTATTGCATCCCATTTCAAAGTGGGTAAGAGTTGTCGTTTTTTATCCAATGAAGTGACCGGTTTCGTGGGTCAATTCGCACGGGTTGCATGTTAAGTGAGTAACACAAATTATAAACATCTATTTTTTTTTTTTACTTTTTTTGTCTTCAATATTGATGGTTTAGTACCAAAATTATTTTGAAATATACTTGTTATTTTACAACCCTTGTTGAACTATTATTTCTATATTATAATAATTATTCAAATGTTTACTCAAAAGATGTAAATTGCGTCATTTCTACACTGAGTGTTTTTTTATAGATACTCCTTCCGTCCCACTGAGATTCTCTTATCTTTTTCTTTCGATCCGTCCCTCTAACACTTTCTCATACGAAGTACAAAATTAGCTAAAGTTTGTGTGGTATTATATCATTCTTTCTTAATTTTTATTTCAGCAATTCAACGTCAACCACATAAACTCATTTTTCTTAATAATCGTGTCATCACCTCATGTCCCAATCTTAGTGGGACGGAGGTAGTACAATATAATAGTTATAAAATTTCAGTATACCAATGATTTAAATACATATGTATATAATATTGGAGTACATAAAAGTAGAGTTTTGGAAGTTGAATAGTTTTTTCTTGAATTTATTGTCTTGCCACATGTCACTTTTTCATACAAAGACTATTGCCACATGTCAATAATTCCTCTAAAGAGTTCCTCAAGGGTTTGCTTTATTATATTATATAGATGTCTCTCCACTGTTAAAAATAAAAAAATTATTATCAATTTGCTAATTATTAAAGCGATGATTGTCCCATACCAAATTTGATAAACTTTGTGTGACTCTAAATCTTTCTTGATGTATTCTTACTTTATTAATTCAATATCAATCAGAGTAACCCACTTTTTTAAATAACCGTGCCACATCTTCTTGTGCCAATGTTAGTGAGACGGAGGTAGTACTATGTATCTAATGCATATAGGATGTTAATTCACACGCGAACCGATGTACCTATATTTAAGATTTTAAAATGAAATTATCAATATGATCGTGTATTGTTTAGGGAAATTTTATGAAAGCCACACAAATATTATATATAACCAACATAATAAATTTTAAGTAATAAAATCATTTCAAATGTCTAGTTTTCTCTTATATTAATATAACACAATGGGCATAACAGGTTTATGCAAAATTGAACATAGTTTGCGGAAGTCCAGTAGTAAAATCAAACGTAAAAAACAATTTAAAGTTGCGATCCAACCGAAAAAGGTCACATTCAATTGAAGGGTTCACATGAGCAGATATGTTTACAAAGCAATTAAAAAAAGCACAACCTTTTTATTGAGATTTCGGCATATCCTACTATAGAATTTCCTTATTCTCTTTAGAAATATAGTTACACGGGAAAAGCAAGTAAGCCTTCAACTGCCCGCTAAGGATGTTTTTACTTGGACCGTTTTAAGTTCTAGATCAGAGTCACCAGACCAGACCACACTTAAACAGACCAGATCAGACTAGTTCAGACTACACCAGACCAGAATTTCGTAGTTATAAATACACAGAGGCCAGACTTCCAAAATGATAATGAAAACAACATGCAGTTGTATTCATAGCATGGAGATTTTCCATCTAATCTGACATTCTTTCTGTAGTTGGAGATTGTTAAGAAATAAATAAATCAAGCCAATCCAAGAATGATCGTGAGTCACTTAAGTTCACTGAGAAGAATCTTATAAATAAGGTACTTGTTGATTCAATGCATTAAATAGTACTGGGTACGTAGTATGTTAGTTATAGCAACTCAAAGTTCTCAAATGAGATGTATGCAGGAAGAGTCAAATCATATGTGGTTTCAATTATTTTTTGTATTCCATATTTTTTGTGCAACACTTCCTTCTTGCTGTCATATTCAGTTTTCTACTCTTAGTTTACTAGTTACTACGTAGTACGGAGTATATATATTTTATCTGAGTAGCATTTTTGTGCCCTTTCCCCTACTAGTTGATGCTGAAATGACTCATTTTTCTGCTATAACCATCAGTTTGTGCCCTTCACTTACTGCTGATTGCTCAAATCTTCCAACTACATTGTTTATGTAGGTGTCAAGCTCTAAGGAGTTATGATTACTTCAACTAATGAGTTCAATCCTCTAAGCATAACGCCAGTGGCGGAGCCACCATTGTTCAAAGGTGTTCAAGTGAACACCTAAAATAATGAAAAAATACTACTACGTAGTATACATATATAAATTTAATTTAATTATTTATTGTTCTTTAATTGTACAAAGAAAATGAACACCCAAAATCTCAACCGTAAATTCGCCACTGCATAACGCCTATAACGAGTTCAGACTTCAACAAAGTTGATTTTTTTATATGTAATTTTGGCTCTGGAGAGAAGTTTTATTTGTCTTTAAAGGTTAAGCTAAAGTTTCAATTCATCCTAAATGGTTTAATTAGATCATGTCTTTCCCATCCAATTTTTAATCCAGATAAGTCCAGTTTTTATTCTATTTTTATTTATAAAATATAGATAAAATAGTACATAGTACTATCGTATTTGTTTGTTCTTTTTCAGTTTGGTACTTTGATTCATTAGTTCTCATATCCGTTCTATACCACACTTACTACATCACTCAATCTTTGCACTATTTAAATCCATCATTCCATTCATTAAAATGAAGCGTAATTTGGATTTTTTTATCCGTTAGTATTGGTATGACCGTAACTTTCTTGTGAGATGTTACTCACGTACACTAGTAGATAAAAAGGCATATTGCTTTATTTCAATGGATTGAGTGGTATATTTGTAGTCTTATGATTATTGAGGGGTCTAATTATAGAATCACTAAAATTTGAGAGTTATTTCTTAGTAAATATAATCATATCATACCAACTTTGAACAAATAATTAAATGCTAATGAAAACTCTATATCTCTTTCATATTATATTTATATTGACATTAATATTATACTGATATTAATAATAACAGTTGTATTAGTATTTATAATCATATTCATCATCGTATTCAGTGGCATAATTAGAAACATATACATAGTATATGTTGAAAGGGATCGGGGTTTGAAATTACTTATTTACATTTACATTATTTGCACTTACATTTACACTTATAATTATATTTGTATTTGCGTTTATATTACACTTATATAGTTATATTTATATTTATATCACATTTACCCTTACCTTTACATTAACATTTGTATTTAATACTCCGTAAATGTCGATTAACATCGAGAATCAGAACCCGTCCCGTTCTTCAAAGACTGCATCTATATATGGAGCAATTAGAATTACTCCATTATTTATATATTTATATGTTTTTTCTCGATGAATAATGACTAAGGATGTTTTTACTTGGACTGTAATTTGCTGGTCTGGTCTGGTCTAGTCTGAACTGATCTGGTCTGGTTTCTTTGTATTTTTATAACTATTCAAGTTTGGTCTGGTCTGGTCTGGACTGGTCTGGTCTGGCGCAAATTAAAGTACAAGTAAAAACATCCTAAATAGAAACACCCAACAGTGTTGCCGTGTTGGTTATGTAAAAAATGTTCTATTCCTCTTTGAGAAGAAGGTAGCATTACATGCCTAATTAAAGGGGATAAGGGTCAGTTTGGTACTCGAAGTTGCAAAAAAGGGGTCAAATAAGTCCTTATATAGAAGATTCTGTCCGAACGTGCCATTTGAGGTGGCTCCCGGTGGAATTTTTTGATGAAATTTTTTGAGCATCTTATTCATTAAGTCTAGTTTACTCATACCAAATTTCAGATAAAAATTCTATCCGGAAGACATTCAAATGAATTATTGAAGATGACTGTGCCGTTAAAAACGCTATTATCTTCAAGAATTCATTTGAATGTCTTCCCGATTGAATTTTTTGTTGAAATTTCGAGGACCAAACTATTCGATTAAATCCTGCGACATGTTTTTTTTTGAAAAATTTACCAATGAAAGAAGAAATAAAAGAATTGAACAAAAGGTCAACAAAGCTAAGCCTAATTATACTTCGTACTAGTAATCGTCAAGTCGATCCAGGAACATTATTAACTGCGTTTCCTGTGTTTGTGGATTTGCGGAAGAGAAACTCCAGGTTTTGAGCATTCCAGCACAGCTCAATGGAGTCTCCTTCCTTCAAAAGCCTCCGTCTAACAAATTTCTCGGACCAGTTGTTAGTGAGCACAAAGCTTCCGCTTTTCCACTGCAAAAGGGTTAGCACGCATTCCTTCCCGTCGTCCATGTCCGTCACCTTCACTTTCAGCCCCATCGCGCTATGGCAGGCGCTCTCCTTCTCCTTGTCCAGAGAAGGCAACACGTACCTATCCATGATCTCGGCCTTCGGCAGCAAAAGCCGCGACGACGAGTTCACGTCGCTCGCGCTCAGCATCTTCTTCACCCACGGCCCTTCCCCGCCTCCTTCTCCGAGAGCCCCAGCTCTCGGAGAAGGGTTCTGGTGCACCTCGCTGTCTCCGCTGCCTTCTCTTTTTTCTGAACTCTTAGAGCACTTAGAAGTTCTTGACCGCTTGGATCCGGGCGTCGCCTCCAGGCATGGAGACGACGTCTTTCTTTTCCGAGTGGTCAGAGTACTGGTGTTAGAATCCGGCGGAGACAACCGGAGTGTCAAGGTTTCATCTTCATTATCCGGAAGATTGATAAGCTTGGTGAGGGAAGGCTGGGGTGGGCACAGAAAGAGGCAGAGTTCGGTGGAAACGCTCTCGACCGAGGCTGCCTCCGCCGCCACACCCATAAAATCAAACACCGCCGCGGCAATGGCCGCATCATCTCCGACTACTCCTTTTTCTTTCTCATTGAAGGTGGCAAGGAAGTCATACAAGAACACCATGATCGATATATTCTGTATTTCTTATTTTTTGTTGTAGCTAGAAATCTTCTAGAATAGAACTATAAGTATGGGGTAAATATACTGATCGATGAATTGAAGTGTAGCATGCATAAATGTATGGGTACGTATATATATACACCAGAAATAGGTGGCTTATCATATTAGGATCGGACACTTATCGAATTTAGGAAACTTTCTTAATTAATTATAACTTGAGAGTGTTTTAGTTTCGAATTTAATTACTACTCGGAACTCGAGTGGTAATATAATCTAATGTTTCCAAATTTGATTTCGTTTATCTTATGCCTACCGTACCCATGGACTCACCAAGTAATTTATTTAATTACTTTTAAATCTCATTTTGTATAATGTTTTCACAAACTAGACCGCTGGGTGTATGACAAAATATTCTAATACTACGTATCAATTTTCTTATGAATGATGCATAATGTTTTTGATAATACTAATTAATTCATTAGTAACTATATTAATAAAACAAATTAACAAAAAGTAAAGACATACAAGTATATATAGCTAACCTTGAATAACTTAAGTTCTAAAATTATATTAATACTAACATATACTTCGTATACCCTAGCTAGAAATGTATAGTACGTACTCCTTCCGTCCCAATTTGATGGTCTCATATCTTTTGAGCACAAATTTTAATAAAGTGGTTGAAAAGGTAAAAGTTGTGGTTCAGATTTGAGTAAAAAAGATGAAATAATGTGGACCACATCTTTCTTTCCAAAAAGAGAAATGAGACTATCATTTTGGGACATTCCAAAAAGGAAATACGGGACCATCATTTTGGGACGGAGGGAGTAGTATATTTTCAGTTATTACGTAGTATGTCAAAGTAGAAAACCATACTAGCTAATTTGATTGTCATGAGATAGATATGATTTATCATTCCTCTGAAAATTTACAATCATCCCAACATATAATAATCTTTTGTTCCCAAGTTACAAATTTATATTTTATACGAGTATTAAATGAAAAAAATAATACTATAGGTTTTCTCGTGATTATGAGGAGACAACTTTATTTAAATTATTTTGCTTATCTTGTTATCTTTTATTTCAAATTGGATGTAGTTTTGGTTGTGTTTTTGTTTCCTACTATCAGAATTGCAGAACTTAGGTTGGGTGAGGAAATGTCTGTTTTGTACGTCATTAGCTCAGTTAATGGTCCATTCTCTAAGTCTGGTTCGTGGACAGACGATCGGAATGAGACTATTTGTCTTTTTGTAACTTGCCTACATTCCGATTATTCAATATAAGGCACCTTCTTCCGAAAAAAGAAGACTAGAACAGGATCATTTTTCAATTTGGGCAAAAAGATACAAAATATAACTGAAATGGAAGAAATACCCTTAATTTAAAATCTAAAAAATTAACCCTCTCCCTTCCCAATCCCATCTACACCTTCGACCTCAATCTCGTTTGCACTTTTGACCGAGATGTTGCACTCCAGACACTCCAGCGTGGAAGGCTACATCGAAGGCGAGAACCTGACGACGACCACGGTATTACACATTGATGATTAGACATTTCGATTGTCAATGTTTTATTCATAATTGTGTTCCTTTGAACTTATGTTGTCAATAAGTGAAAGCTTATATGATACTACATATAACATAAAGTCGTAAATAGCCCAGAATCTCTTGCTTTCCGCTGCACCCGCTAGTAAATGTGTGAAGCATAGAGTAGCCGCATTTGAATGCTAACTGAAAGGATTTCATTGAGTAATAAATTCCATTTTAAGAAAGCAAGTTTAGGAAGACCCTAGAAAAGATGACAGCCGGTACACTTTCCAGCTCGCAACGGCTCAAACGGGCGGGTAAACCACATTGAGTAGTTTCGCGAGTCCATGTATCTGCAGACCCAGGTTCCCAATGATCATAAAAAAAGGGATATTGATGATATGCGATAAGATTGGTATGTGGATTGCATCAAACTTTTAGAAAGTATAATTGATCTCACAACTATGAGTTCCTGTAATTCATGATGCTTACATTGAAATTTTAGAAAGAATATTGGCATACCCACCGAGAAACCATTTGATAAGTTCTATTAATGTGTCTATGGAATTATCGGCATATAGGGTAGTGTAATAGTTCTCCGACTTGAGGTCGATACATACCTCATGTGTGAAGTGATGTACTTTGATCATGACCACCGCTTGCGCTCCAATCGGGGTAGACACGAAATGCATTAGGTGATCGAATCACGAAGCACATGGAGTAGTAGTTGAGCCAAGAAAGGATTTATTCCTTGTATGTAATAGATTAAGAGAGAACATTCTACTTCTCATATATAGATGAATCATAAAGTCACTAGCGAATGCAAAGATATTTTCGTTTTGGATATCGAATATGATTGTTATGGATCATCTGGAAAGATAGAGAGGCAAGTTTAAGTTATGGGAATAAACACAATATCAAGTTCTAGACTTAGTTGAATATTTGTGAGTGAAAGGACCGTATCCCTACGAGATCTATATTATAGGGAGTTCGAATAGTCCTCGCAAACGTCGTTATATATTAAGATTGTCTAGTAATTGTCTAGGGATTCTGTTAAGACCTTAATTTGATTAGTGCTTAATATAAGACCCTTTGGGTCACACAACAAGTGATTGTACCTTCCGATTGAATTATATTGTTAGAAAGAATTAAATATGATTTAGATTAAATAATATTTAATTTGTAATGATGATGAATATTTAATTCATAATACTGAATATGAATTAAATATTAATTAGATTAAATTATATTTAATCTGCCCGAAACCCTACAAAAAGATCAAGAAAAGTACAAAGGGGCAAGACAAAAAGAAGATTAAAAAAATTGTTCGTATACCGGTTCGGGTATAAGCAATATAATACTCGATCGGGTATTTAGTTGATTCGGGTGTCAACATCAGAATCTGTAGAACAATCTAACGTGCAGGATATTTTTGAAGATTTGAATAATACCCGATCTGGTAAACCGACATATCCGATCTGGTATGTCCTGAAACACCACTTTCTGGGAAACTGCCAATGATACTCGATCAAGTACCCTATATACCCGGTCAGGTATATTACACCATGTCACCTCCAAATTAAAAGCGCATAAATACACCCAATTTCCTTCCTATTAGAGACACCAATTCACATATACTCTTAAACTAAGTTTATCTAGAATAGTGTTGTCTTCATATATTTCTGTCATGTTTAGTCTCCAAATGAGGACCTTAACTCTTAATTTTTTGATTTTGCTCTTGAATCTTCTTGAATGTTAAAGTTGTGAGTTCTTTTCTAAACTTCTTCCCTTGAATATTAATTCTTCCCCGATTCTATCTATATATTAATGTTGGGAAGTGCTGCTAATAAGTGACCATTAGAGTTAACATCTTGACATTAGTTACTACTACAAATGTTCAATGGTGATTAATCAATAATGGTTTCACAAGTATGTAACTTCGGTTATTATTGCATGGTCTCATGGTTAATAATCTTAAGAGGAGTCAATTGTGTTGGTTAAACCGAAACCATTGTGATGAGGTTATCAATCTCAATTGATTTCACCAATGAATTAAGAGATTAAATGCTACTACTAAGTCAGTATATGACAGTATTCTATACTTGACTAGTAGTAAGAATTGTTATGAGAGATCTCTTTATTAATAAGTGCCCTTGATGAATTGGAGATACTCCACGTATGAGTATTCGAGAGGAGACAAGTTAAAGATACAACCAAAATCGATAAACTTCTCAACAAGTGAAAGTAGCAAAACCAAGTCTTTTATCTCAATAATTTAAATCACATAAGTAGTTCTTCTTAGTGTTTAATATTCTTAAGTTCAACCCCTTCTCTCCTTTGGTTACAAGTTTATAATAGATAAATATGAATACTACACTATACTACGGTGTTAGTGCAAGTATTGAATTTATATCAAAGCACACATGACTTAAATGCGGTCATATATACACTGGTGTAACCCAATGTGTACAAATATAATAGCAAAATTCCCTTATAAATACATCATTGAATCCATTGAAATGAAGCAATAGAGTACTTTTTATCTGTTAGCTTCAGTAAAGCGGTAACTTTCTCGTGAGGTGTTACCGGCACCTGTGGGTAAAAAAAGGCTTATTGCTTTATTTCCATGGATTGAGTGGTATATTTATAGTCTTCTGATTCAGGGTCTAATTATAGAATCATTAAAAATTGAGTCATCATTCTTTATAAATATAATCACATCATATATACTAATCACTACGAACAAATAAAGCGCTAATAATGAACACTCGGTATCACATTCATACTACGTATTATATTTACATTGATATTAATACTAGTATTGATATTGATAATAATAATAGTCGTATTATTCATATATACAATCATGTTCATAATTGTACTCAGTGGCATGATTTGAAACACATGGATAGTTCCGGGGTACGTTTAATTTAAATTATACTCATCTATATTTATTTTTATGTGTACATTTACATTTACATTTATATTTACACTGATATTTACATTTACATTTACATCATATTTACAATTACATTTACATCAACATTAACATTTATACTCAGCATTTAATGCTCCATAAAGGTCAATTGGAGAAGCAAAATTAGTTTTTCAGAAATTGAGCTTCCCTAACTTTTCAAAAACGGCTTGTATAGAGCAATTATAATCACTCTAATACTTCGTATATTTTTTTTGCTCGATCAAAATTCAGAAACAACGTATGGAAACACCAACAATGTTTATAAAATGGCATGTTCATGTCAATGCCAACCTTACTGTGTCAATAATATGATGAAAATGTGTGATCGGGAGATACACAAAGTTCAAATACCCGAGAGTTTTAAGAGAAATGATGCTAAATAGGACTTTGAGTTTCTCTATGTAAATAAATAAGACCCTGACTTTTTTTTACTCCTAAATAGGACTTAATTTCCCGTTTCTTCCATATTTGCCCTTAAGTCTTTTATTTTGCTTCTCGGTGTGACGGTGTCAACAAATTCCCAAGCATGGCATCTCTTCCATGTGGACCCTTGTTTCCAGAGGCGGACTCCTTCGAGAATCAATGACCCGGATCCAATTGG